TTGTATTTTTTTTTGTTTTGTATCACCAGATGTTCTCTTAGCTTACCTTTATCCAATCGTTAATTTGAGCTTCTGCATTGTTGTTCGACCACTTATCTTCTGCTGGACGAGCAAAATCACATTATGTGATTAATAAAATGTGATCTTTTTTCACTTTGTGAAAATCGAGTTGGTTGGGAATTATGTTCAGATTGATTATCTTGAAGCGATTACAAAGAGAAGCATTCTCAGATCTGATGAAACTTAAAAGATAGACAAGAGAAAGTGGAGCGGATAATTTCGCAATTATCGAAAGGAGGTCCTTTCCAAGAGGCTAGCGCTCATGTGACGGGTGAGGTCAATGTGCTTGGAGCGATGTTGATGATAGGAAACACTGACGATGAGAGTTTCCTATGGACTCGGTAGGTCAATGTGCTTGGAGCGATGTTGATGATGGGAAACACTGACGATGAGAGACCTGGATTGCTTTCTAGGTTCATGTTTGAAACACATAGCAAAGGAGCAATTGTTATCACTGGTAAACTAATGATTTGACGCTTGAGGTTCGAAGGGAATCGCAGAACAGAGAATAAACAAGATGATGATGTATAGAGAAGAACAGAGCGTGAATAGGTGGAGAAGAAACAGAGCCTTGTGAACTAAAACCATATTAAAAATATAAAATTTCGAGAGTAAATCTCCTTTGTCTGAAAATTTAAAAATGTTAAAATTACAATGGTTCATTCAATGGTACAAGACAAACTAATTTGATAAAGCAGAGAACAAACTTTGAAAATAAGAAAGAGGACCAACAGGTTTGGTAGGTTTGAAGAGTAAATCATAAGATTGTGTATGGAGATCATGTATCACCAGTGGATCAAAGTACTCACGACCTTGAAGCAATAACTTATTCTTATCAAGAATTGCTATTGGCGAAAGCGGAAACTTGGGTTCCCCATACCAAGAAAAAGTTTTGGTGAGATCTAACGAACACATTTTCTTCCATGTCTTGTTGCCGCCTGAAGAATCCAACCACCATATCACTTGGTTGGGCCAGTTTTTCTCGTAAACGCATAAGCGGTTTCCGAGGATGCACATGTCGACGTTGCGAGGGTGGACGTTGCGACGGTCACTTAGATGGGGAAAGAGTATGACTTGAAAAGTTTCGGTGTGAAGATCAAAAGATAATAACTTGGTTTCTTCACACTCAGTCAACCAATGAAGCGACCCATCTAAATACACCGGATTATGGTAAAGATGAATCCGATAAGGAGAAGCAGGGCGAACATACCTCCAAGCCTTAGTGGTAAAATCGAAAACTTCACAAGTAGTAATGTCATCTAGGCCATATGTGGATGAGTTATATAGCCAAACCGGCTTGTATGTGCCACTGATTTTGTCTTTACCAAATCCAAGCGTAGGAGTTTTGGGGGCAAAAACTCTTTTCTTACACCTTTCGATGAGGAGCTCTTGAATTCTTGAAAGAGGAAACGTTTGATGCCATCTAGTGGCGGGATTGATCACAACGTTCCTTATGTCTATGAAGACATAGTAGAGGCATATAAGACCGTCACAACTGCCATTGCATAGCTGGGCACCCGAGATAGGAAACCTGAACGTAGAAGCTATTGATGACCCCAACACAAATCTTTGATCATCTGTGTATACACCATCATCACCTTTATAATCTATGCGCACGAAAAGGACATCTGGACCTCGTGATTGCTTGCGACAGATCAACTGTCTCTCTTTGAACCGTCGGGAACTGATTGTTGAGTTCCACTGCTTGGATACAGACTTGAATCTAAGCAGAGATTCCACGGGAATTCTCTCGAGGATGAGCTCTACAACATCGTGGGGTAGCAATTCCACACGCGAGCAATGTCTTTTCAACAACATTATATTGTATAAATACCTACAAGAAAGACAGATCCAAGCTTTAAATATATTTACACAGAGCTGAGCATCCAAGTCGGTCTATGAATGGAAAAATGGAAAACTTGACGTCAGTTTGCTTTCCAAGGAAAAGTAAATTCCAACCACCTTAGGAACCTAATCCTAAACCTAAATCATTGT